TCCATCCATCTATCTTCTATCTGTGTTCTAAAAGTACCAGCAGTTGATCATTTTTTTCTGCCTCTTGTAATGTTAAGAGGCTCAGGTCATGTTTACTAAGAAAATGGAAGCTGTTATGGCAGAGGAGTTTGGTGATGCCACCTTGGAGGCAGAGATTAGCCTGGAGGCCGGTGAGGTCCAGTGGATGAGGCAGGGGGTGGTTATCCAGTCTGGTCCCCGACACACGCTGGCCCAGAACGGCTGCAAACGCAGTCTCACCATCCACAACCTGACTCTGTCGGACAGGGGGACTTACCGGTGCGAGACTCTGCATGACCGGACGCAGGTCAAACTCAACGTAGAACGTAAGTGAACTGCAGCAGGGTATGAATAACACTTTTATCCAGACATAATAATAATGATAATAATGGATTGCATTTATTTAGCGCTTTTCGGGGCTCTCAAAGCACTGTACAATTCCACTATTCATTCACTCTCACATTCACACACTGGTGGAGGCAGCTACAGTTGTAGCCACAGCTGCACTGGGGCAGACTGACAGAAGCGAGGCTGTCCGAGCCGGGGCTCGAACCGGCAACCTTCCGGTTACAAGACGAACTGCCAATGCAGTTGTGTCATTAGGGTTAGGGTTTCTACCGAACTATTGATCTCAGGTTTCAATCCCTTTTAGTATACTTTAATCTGAGATATATTTTATCAGACTCATCCAGGGCATTAGGTCTCAAAATCATAGCTAGACTGGGCTTCAAAATGGTTAGATTAGATTTGGAAACTTCAGATTTTTCTGCACCATTTTCTGATATTTTGATTTTTTTAGTTGAACTCATCATATTTGCTCAAAGCACGAGTAAAAATATTGAATGAAAAAAGCATTTTCTTAAATTTTGTGATCAAATTTTCGTGTTAAAAAATATTCGAAATGTTTAATTTGTATTTTTTTTTAATGCTATAACTATATACACCTAGAAACTGTTGTTTTTTCTGCGAAGTGTTTTTTTATTAGTGTGTGTTAATTTGATTAAATTTGTTTTTTCATATTTTAACGGGCTGACACTCTTATCTCGTATCTGTCTCAAATTACAGATCCTAATTCATTTTTATGGAAAGAGACACCAGTGAAGTTTTCAGGATTTTAAAACATGCAAAAAGAAAAAAACACCTTACCACTTTTCAGAAAAGCACATATAGAAAAGTACATAAAGCCAAAAATATGCAGCAATCATATAATATATGTCCAAACAACTTAAGACGATAAAAAGCATTTTGGAGAAAGCTCATGTTGATTTGAAATGCAACAAGCCTTTTTATTTATTCTATAAATAGCGAGTGAAGAAATGAACTTTCCCTAAAATTGCTTATTGTGTCTGGATTTAACTGTTCAAACCTAACCGCAGTGTGAATAAATAAGATCAAAGGAGGCAGAAAGAACACTAGCCAGATACTATCAGTACTTACTCGGCTCTGAAGACTATAAAACAAGACATTTCAGAAGCCAGTGTACCTTGTGACTTTGTGATTGGTATCTCTTCTGACACAGATGAGCTCGGGCCTAAAGAACAGTACACACTGAAGGTGTTTTTCACAGCATGTCAGAGTGTAAAAAAGTACTATGAATAGCCGAGCCAGACCTGTAAGTGTGAAAAGGCTTTTGAAACACAGCCATGCTGTTATTCAGCCGTGTACAAGAGTGACACAGTGACAGTGGACTGCTCCTGCTAGTGTTTTTGTAACATGATAAACTGAGCTCTGTCTATATTTGCACAACCTTCAGTTGTCCTTGAAACACAATCTTGGCTTTCAAATGCATATCAGCAAAATACAGTTTGCAAAAAAAAGAATTCTCTGTTTTTTAAAATAATTTTTAAAATGATTTAATAGATATTTATTTGATTTATAATTTGATAATTATGGTTGGTATAATGACAGTCCTCTCACCGCTTTCACTAATCTACTCTTGTGCAGCCCGTAAAATCGCCATCCGCAAAGGTCTGACTGACCAAGAAACCTTTGAACGAGAGACTGCCTCCTTTGTGGTGGAGCTGTCGCACACAGATGTGGAGGGCAGCTGGCAAAAGGACGGCATTCGGGTCAAGCCAAACAACCAGTGTAGGGTGAGCACCAATGGACAAGTTCACGGCCTCACCTTGTCCAACCTTACTCTGGAGGACACAGGCACCATCGTCTTCTCAGCTGAAGGAGCGCGCACCACAGCGAGGCTCACAGTCAAAGGTAAATACAAGCCCGTGAAGCTCACTGGTTTCACTTTTTACACCTTTTATTCTAAATCATGGCTCATCAAGTAGTTCACTGACTGATTGACTGGACTGACTAAACTGACAGAAACACCAGTGTCCATCTTGAAACCACTGGCTGATGCCCGTGTGGAGGAGGAATTTCCTGTCACCCTGGAGTGTGAATTCTCCCGACAAAATGTTGAAGTCAGATGGTTTAAGGTAAAATCAACCAGTAAATACTCTCAGTAATCTTGCCCTTATTTTGTCTTATTATACCAGCAAGGTGACAGTTTTAAGAGCGATATAATGAATAAAGAATGCCTTTGACTTTTTTTTTTCTATGACTCAGGACGGTTCGGAGCTAAAGCCGGGGAAAAACTGTCGGATCTACTCAATGGGTCGTAAGAGGTTCTGTCAAATCCTGCAGTGCTCCCGGGCAGATTCTGGCACCTACACATGCGACACAGGGGAAATCAAAACGTCCTGTTCGCTGGAGGTTTATGGTAAGCCTCTGATCAGATACTGGCTTAACACAACTCATTTTGAACCAACTGGAGGCAGTGAGTAGCTGGAGTAAAGCTTATACAATACCTCCATCTAGTGGTTTTAAGGAAAAGAACTTTTTTCTTCTTTTGCCATCTGATCTTTTTGCCGTCTTTAACTAACTCGCAGAGCATGAGCTGGAGATAGTGCAGGATTTGGAGGATCTTTACATCCAGGAGGACCAGAATGCCGTCTTCATGTGTGAGGTTTCTCTGGAGGACGTGACAGGGGAGTGGTACAAAGACGGCCACAGGATCCGACCAACCAGCTCCATCAAGATCCGCACTGAAGGTCAGAGAAGGCAGACATTTTTATGAGACTTAGAAACCAATCATAAAATCATAAATAATACAAGAGTAAAATGCCTTAATCTGCTCCAGAGCAGGTTATGTTTCAGATTAGAGATCAATAGGTATGAAATCACTGCCTACTGACCAATCAGTTCTCCAGAAAATGGCATCACCATCTGTGGAAAAACCCTCAAACCTCGTTTGGAGAGGAGAAGGATTTAAATTTCTCTATTTGTAGTTTTAGAGGTACCTCTGGTGGTGGCACGAACTTGGAAAGAGCAGAAAGAGCAAAAGACCACTTGTACACTGTTGGCAAGTCTGAAAATTGTTGCTCTCTTCCAGGGACCAAACACTTCCTGCTGATGTGTAACGTTAAAGCTGAAGATGCTGGAGAAATCCGCTTTGTAGCCAGGGATGTTGAATCTACTGCCTACCTTGAGGTAGAGGGTAAGTTAATTCTTTATCTTCAGAATACTTTACTGGCCTTTTTCTTGGCCATAGCAGTGACTTAAAATCATCTATATGTTGAATTTCCTCTTGTTTCAGAACTTCCAGTTTCTATTGTAAAGCCCTTGCGAGACAGAACAGCTCTGGAGAAACATCGTGTGATCCTTGAATGCACTGTCTCCTCGCCTCACTGCAGCGCTACCTGGTACAAAGGCAGGGAGGAACTGGTTTCCTCAGACCGACTGGAAATCCTGGCTGATGGCTGCTCCCACAAACTGGTGATTCAGCAGGTGTCTGTGGAGGATGAGGGCACCTACAGCATTGAGGTCGGAGAGCACACCTCCAAAGCCAAACTGATGGTGGAAGGTAAGTTGGGGCGGAAAGCTAAAGCGGAACACCCTAAATACATTTTTGTCAAACTGATTTGTTCTGTGTTGCTCCAGCCCAGGCTCTTGTGATGGTGAAAGAGCTAGAGGACGTGGAAGTGATGGAGGGAGAGCCGGCGACTTTCCAGTGTGAGTTATCAGTCGCCATAAATAAGCCTCCGGTTTGGACTTTGAATGGAGAGAACCTTAAACCGGGGCCCTCTGTCCGCCTGGAAAACCACGGGACAGTCCACAAACTCATCCTGAAGAGCACCAGCGTGGACATGAGCGGCACGGTGAAGTTTACCATGGGAAAGGCGAAGAGCAGCGCCACGCTCAACGTAACATAATAAATAAATAAATAAATAAAATGGTTGCTGTGAAATTAATCACAGCAACTGCCAATCAGAGTCCTCCACTGAAAACCTTATAACGTAACTTTAGCTTAAATTAGACTAAACTTTTTTTTTTTTTTTTACATTGTAGATCATATTTATTTTTCCGTTTACATCACAGTAACTTTTCATTTCAATAAAAAGCTCCCAAATAAAACCCATTTAAAAACTGCTCCATGGAAACATCTGTTGGACTTTAAAGCCTTCTCATAACTTCAGAGAAGCTAAATAATGTGTGGAGATTATTTTGGGTGGAAAATACTTGTGTATTTGAAAAACTCTTGGAAGCACCAGAATGAAAATGCTTTTAATAAGGAAAAAAAGGTTTTACTTGGTCAGAACACAGTTCTAGATGGCAACCGCTGGCTATGTGGATGTTTTTTTTAAATAAATGTTGAGCCATCTTTTTGTTTATCAAGGTCGACTGCAGCCCTGCACAGCCTTTTCTGAGTTTTCCTTCCTTAAAAAAATAAAATGAAATAAAAAAGGCTTGACAGCCACCCTTCCACTGAGATTTCTGATGAGGCTTCAGGGAACAGTAGATGACCAGCTGAAGGTTCAGATGCATCACTCAGGTCCTGTGTCAGGTCTTTGTTGCCCCCTCCCCCCTCTCTTAACATCTGGCTTTTTTTTGTTTGTTTTACTAAATGTAACAAACCCACCTTCTCAGGCTTGAAAATGTACCGCTTGTGTTGTTTTTTTCCCCAAAAACAGAACAGCACCTTAGACCGTGTTTCCTTAAGCATTTATGAGGGGCATTATTACATACAGTCCATACAGAATTTGGTATGATAAAACAAAGGTCACAAAAAAAAAAAAAAAAAAAAAAGGAAAAAAGTTACAGCTATTGAATCATGAGTACAGTAACATGAATATTCCATATATTAATGAAATTCATTTGCTTTATTACTGTGCAAAAACAACATATACATATCTACTGAATGTGTATGAAGTACAGTATCAGTGAATGGGCCCCCATAGTGACACAACCGGTTTTACATGTAATCCATTAACAAGATGACTCAGCGTTCCTATAAATACTCGTCTTTGCCAATGAATTCCAAAACACACGCGGCATCAGTAATTTGATGATGGCTTTCATGAAAACACACCGTTTTAAACCTGTTACGTGCCTACAACGGTAAGATACTATCTCTTTAGTTATTTGCTGGTGTTTCTGAATCCTCTCTCCCTCCTCGTACGCGAGGTAACCGACCAGGTCCTGTAAGAAAACAGCAAGAACAATGTCTTCCCGTTTTGGAAAACCTACTGTAAATATTCTAAAAGAGGATGACTCTTGGGAAAAAAAATAAAAATAAAAATAATAAAAGGCAGCAGTAAAAATCAGTTAATTATTTAGAAATGAAACAGGCTAATCTTGATTGACAATAATTTGTTAAACATTTTTTAAAAAGTAATAATAGCTCTTAAGGTGGTGGATTTAATCACCCCTTCCTCATCTAGGCAAAGTCACGTCACAAGCCTGCCATCAGGCTGCCAAGTCAAATCCACCACATTCATTCATCAGTGTCAACACATTGTCAACGCAAACTAGGGCGATCGCACCAATCTGCAAGGCCCGTTAGCAACCGCGTTGCTCCTTAAAACTGAGCGGGCAGAATACAATACAGATACACAACACAGATGTGCACAAGAAAAAAGGAAGACTCCACCCCAAAATCATCTCACACTTTCCACTCTTTGTTACTGCTGGTAAACTGCAAAAATCAGTGACTCCTGCAATTCCCAGCATGCACTTAGTAACTTTGATGAGCGGACTAGCATCAAGCTGTGGCACCCCTGCTAGGTTTTTACCTGCGGGCAGAAATACAAATTTCTGCAGTTTTGTGTAAAAGAAAACAGGGGAAAAAATAAAATAAAACAGACATTTAAAGACTTAGCTTTAGATCTGCTGTAGCTGCACTGGCTTTTCAACGTTTCCAAAAACATCACAAAAATCTGCACACTATCAGATCTCTGCCAGGTTTAAAACATAAGGAAACATCCAGTATGAGGCATCACTAACTGCAGTTTATTGTAGTGTTTAAGTTGTTTTGGGGTGGATAGCTCCTTTAAAACCTGCGCTATATTAAACACTTTGTTTTCAAAGATGTGCCCTCCCATATACTGGGATACTCACAGCAGCCCCCCCCTCCTCAAAACCTATTTCATGACACAAATTTAGAAATAGTTTCCAGCCTCTGTGTACCGCTTAAAAGACAATTTAAAAGAAAAAAAGAAAAAAAAAAAAGAGAGAAAAAGTACTTTGAAGATCATGACAAATCCACTGGTGTCTTTTCTTTTTAACATCACAAAACTTTCTTTTAACCATCCAATTACAGTCTGTAAATACACAGAAGACAAATTCAGGTTTGTGTGTGGCTTTAAAGTGGCAAACATCTACCAGATCCATTAACAGCTGCTCTGTCACTTTCGAGTGCAGATGGATGGATACTTAAAGATTAGTGTGAGGTTTCTGATAAAACAATGCAGTCACGACCCGAGTCAGTGCTCTGAATCCGACTATTTCCTGCTGCACAGACAGTAAAAATACTTAGACTCGTGTCCACGTGTTCATCTTTTAAGATGAGCTTAGCATATAAATTTAATCTGCGGTAAAAGGGATTAGATTACTTTTAAAGTGGTCCGATCACTTTTTATTCATTCATTTAACTTGTAATAGTGTCTGAGCTTGCAATGCCAGCTGAGTTTAAAAAAGAAACCTTTTAAAAATCAGATTCATTCATAACACTGATAACTCATGACTATTAAAAACCTGACCACGTCACTCTAAAAGCTCTAAAAATATGACAACTGAGGCCTTTGACTGGAGACAGATAGTGTGATAAAATTAGGCTGTGAAGAACATAACGCTTGACCAAAATGCTTAAAAGACATCTACAGTACGTATACCTCCGACCTGCCCTTTCAACAATCCAACAGATCAAGAAGCGTAAACCTTTCTGAAACTTCCTGCAAGTCTTGTGCAATCAGGCTGCCAAATCACGTCCATGAGAAGTCTAAGTCCAGTACCCGGGTCCAGAGTAATCGTGGCTACAGCCCTCTGCTACTCTACTGAAAGTCCAGTGGGGCTGCAGAAAGGCCATTAAACATTCATTCATCCTCTCGTCCATTCACTCACGTCAGCTGGTTCTTGGAAGGCAACTTGCAGACAGTTTGCTATCTGACCAGGAGGTGGCAGTGTCGACGCCGTCAAAAAGTCACCAAAGGCTCCCCCATGGTGATCTTTGTTTGGTGTGTGGGACGGTTGCTTTGATGGCTCTGGCGGCTGTGAAGCAGTCTGTGTTCTGGTGGGCAATGATAGCTGGAGCTGGTGCTGGAGCCTGGCTGGTGTGGCGTTTCTGGGGGATTTTTATTTTTTTTTTTGCTTTTTTGCTTTTTTGTACGCCGGTTTGTTCAGAGCTGAGATGAAAAAGTCAAACGACGTTAGCTTGAGGTCCCTTGTTGCTTGAGGACCGTGTAGACGTTATCCACTTTGCTCAGCCTCTCGAAGAACGGGATGAGGTCCAGCAGCTCTGTGTCGGACATGTCATCGAACCAAGAGGCCACAGGCACCTGAACAAAAACATAAGCATCGATATCATTGTGGAGATTCAACAAATACAGTTATAAATCAATTTTCTTATTCATCTTATTTACTTTGATGCCTTTTTTATTTAAACAATAAATAAAGTAAGAGTGGGACGCTGAAATTGGGCTTAGTGTCCCCTAAACTACATCTTTCAATAAAAGTGCAATACTTGTTTTAATACAGTTACAAAATTGGGAAATTGTATCCCCCCCCCCCACAAAAAACAAAAACAAAAAAAAAACACAACTTTCAGGGTAACACTATGAATTTGCTTAAGCAACTTGCTTAAGCAGGTGAACAATCCTAAGTGCTGTCCAGAAGACTTACTGCATTGTCGGGATGGAAGATGTAGGAGGCAGGGGAGTTGTCCACAATAATCACTTTGTTGAGGTCACGACCCAGGCGACTCAGATCCTTGACATAATTCCCTCGATGAAAGACGCAAGACTCCCGGAAAAGGCGGCAGCGGAAAGCACCCCACTTGTCCAGGAGATCGGAGACTGGGTCTGCATACTGATGCAGAAGCACGCTCAATTTAAAGCAAAATCTTTATGTAGATACAGCTGAGATTTCCGTTTTTAGTATCAGTTTATAGTATTAGTTTTTACTGTCACCATCACCCTGAAATGGGGATTCACAGTGTCGTGGTTAACACATTCACACAGACCTAGAGATTGTTATGAGACTGCCTGATAACCACTGGTTACTAGGGGAAAAAAAAATAAATAAATAAATAAATAAATAAATAAAATGGTTGCTGTGAAATTAATCACAGCAACTGCCAATCAGAGTCCTCCACTGAAAACCTTATAATTGCTTGGGTTATCAGCAGATTGCCAGTCGCCCATAGTTTGTATAGCAACTATAAACAGAGACCTTGAAATTACAAGTTTTGGCTTATCAGGTTTTACTTTGAAGACAAATCTTTTCCGTTTGGGCTGCACTTCCAAGTTATACTACCTTGATGATTAACAAGAGCGTTCGCAGCCAAGTTGCCGTGTTCCATGCAAACTATGGACAACTGCGGCAATCTGCTAGCAACCAACGCAATCAGAATAAGGTTTTTCACTGATGGGTCTCACACATGAAGACCCTGGTTGAGACTAGCGAGACAAACCCAGCCTCAGGGGGGTCACAAGGTAGTGTGCTCCTAGTGCAAGTCCCAGAGCATGGAAAAATGGGAAGGCTGCATCGGGAAGAGCATCCGGTATGAAATCTGTGCCAAATCAAACACGCGGTTCCCTCTGCTGTGGCAACCCCTCGGGAGATAGGGAAGCAGCTCAAATGACCTCTTCTCATTTCACTCTCTCATAACGCCCCAAGTCTATTTTAAAGGATCCAAAATATTAAACTGTTCACAGCCAACTTCCCTGAATACATCCAGCTTTTCTCTGCTCCCTCCGAGTTTATTGCTGTCAACTGCAGGGAATCAGCCAACCATACATTAATAATCAGCACAGCTGGCTGCGATGAGGTGGTTTCTCACCTTAGCTAAACTGGCAGTGAAGAGGACACATTCGAACAGCTCCCCCATCCTCTTCAGAAACTCGTCAACATGGGGCCGCTTCAGGACATACACCTGGAAGATGCAGGAATCTTTAAATCAGCATCATGCACACACGCCATACACTCAAAATGTAACATGTTTCTACAAATTGCAAATGCCCGAGGACGTTTCAAGTGAATGTTATTTAAGAAAAAAAGAAAAAAAGGAAAAAAAAAAAGGAAACTCAACATGCAGCTCATGACTGGAGATTTCTTCTAATGGACAGATGTTACATTTTTGCAGAACACCTTATTTACTTCCAAGGAGTTAGTAGCAGACATTCAAGCCAAACTGAAGCTAAATGAGAAAGATGCAGTTGTAGCTCACAGAAAGACAAACACTGGGCTCCTTAAAGCTCTTCCTCCATCTTTTTTTTTTCCTCCTTGCTGCTGTGTTGGCAGCTCAGGGCAGCGTTCCTGAACCAAGTCATCCGGAATAGGCTGTGCTTGTCTGAACAAACCTATCCTGGATTACTTGAATCAGGCCCAGACCCATCGTGTGTCATCGGACTCCAAGCAGCCGTCCTCAAATCCCTTAAACGCTGACATCACCTTCTTTACTCAGCAAATTGCGCTCAAGAGAAGTGCCGTCACACAACCGAAATGACAAAATGACAATGAGGCATGAGCACAGCGCATGACAATATGAATATTTCTGATGATGCTAGCATTACCTGGTGTATTGTTCCGTCGATTTCCACAGGAATGATGAAATCTGCGTTGTTCACAGGCTAATCACAAAATAAAAATAATAAAAAGGGGGGGGGGATACTTATTAAACAAAAAAAACCCACAAACACATACAGACACTGGACTTTGCCTTTTACATGCTAAAACATGAACTGACTTAGTGTTGATGCTAGACAGACACAGGTTGAGACAGTCACAGTGTGTGTGCAGATGCGGGAGCGACTGTTTATTTGGGTTATGCATTTGCCAGCCACGACAAAAATGTCACTGCCAGAGCCAACAGCAACCAGATGGAGGGAAAAGTGCAGATCTTGGACTGTTGTGTTCTAAACGTAACTAAATAATGATGTAATGTGATCGCAGGGGACAGCTAAGTGCTGTAAAGCCTCTCTGAACACACACATCCTTTAGTTCCTGCAGCAGGAAATTAAAGAACACGCTTGCAAATGTTGAAGTTGAACATAATTGCTTGTATAACTCAGTCTACAGTGTGTTATCATTCCCCCGCCTTACCTTAAAAGAGCTGTGAACTAAGGTCTCATCCAGATCTATAACCACACAGATCTTTCCGGAGTCTTTTGACTTCACTGGAGGCAGCAGTGGTTTCGCCTGGATCTTCAAAAAGAGAAACCACAAAATAATGAGCTGACTGCAAAAGTACACAAACAAATAAAAATCAAGCCAGGGCAACAGAAAACACACCTTGGACACTGTTCCATTCTCTTCTACCAAGAGAGGGGCGTTGTTGTTGACTGGTGGCGGCTCAGGCTGGTCCCGGCACAGGCAGCAGAAAAGGCTGGAGAAGAGGCCTCCACTCCTGGGTTTCTTGGAAGACAGAGAGGGAGAGGAACCTGCAGAAGAAGATGATAGATCAAGAAATTGTCGAGCTTACAGTAATTACAACATACAGGATCTTTAACAGCTTGGCTTTTAGGAAGAACTCTTAATATTAAGAGGTGCATGGGAATATCTTTATCATCATTATCAGTATGCTTTGAACACACGGGCACAAAACAAACATTTACTTAAAGTCTTCAAGTCTGATCAAACAATCGAACAAAGTAATACACTAAGACATAACTACCGGTACTTAGTCTTTACTACATGGTAAAACCTAAGCCAAAATGCAGAAGCAGTGTGTAAAAGAAAAAAAAAAACAAAAAAAAACAAGCACACCCCATGATTCAGTAGTTTGTAGAACCACTTTCAGCACTAATGGGTTTCTGTATGACTTCAGCTGTGTCTTGCGTGGTCATGTAGGAATGTTGGCCTACTCTTCTTTACAATGTTGCTTCTATTCATTGAAATTTGTGGGCATTTATTTATGCATGGCTCTCTGAAATCCTGCTGTGGTGAGGCCTTACATCAGGTTGAGTCAGCCATTCTGTTGCAGATTTTCAGATGTGATTGGATCACTGTCCTGTTGCATGCCTGTTGATCAAAGCTTTAGCTGTCAGATGTATCACATCTGTCTCTAGAATACTTTGAATCGACCATGAACTCCTCTGTTCACCAATGACTGAGGTGTTCAGGTCCTGTGGCTGCAAAGCAAGCACAAATCATCACACCTCCACCACCGTGCTTCACAGTTGGAGTGTTTGTGCAGATATGCAGCGTTTGGTTTTCTCCAAACATGATGCTGTGCATTACAGCAAAGGATTTTGGTCTAGTCTGTCCAAAACACACTGTTCTAAAAGTCTTGTGGTTTGCTCAGTTACAACTTTGCAAACCCTAACACGTGCTGCCACAGTCTCCTAAAACAGAATAAGCGCTCTCCTGCAGCGCTTTCAAACAAGCCATGAACTTTAACATGCTAATTGAGGTCTAATGAGTCTGAGATGTAGCTCTTCGGTTTTTTGCAATATCTCTGTGCGTTGCAACATCTGACAAACAGGGTGAATTTTCTGGGTTGTCCACTCCTGTGAAGATTGGCAGGGATCTGGAATGTTTTTCCACTTGTAAATAATCTTTCTCACTGTAGAATAATAGGCTTCAAACGTATAACCCTTCCCACATTGATGGGGAGCACCTCTGCTTCTCTAAGATCACTCATGTTGTCTTTCCTACTTGGCATTTAGTTAACACACCTGAATGCTCCAGACCAGCAATGTCTTTTTGTAGAGATGCTCACGTCTACTGATGATCAGTTATTAAAGTGCATTGATTAGCAGCACCTGGTTGCTAGTTATCTTCGTATGGAAGCAGTAGGGCTGTTCTTAGTTTTTAAACATGCTGCTTCAGCATTTTGGCATCATTTTGTAACTAAAATAGTCGCACAGTGTAACAGTTGTTGTGTTTACCTCATTTTAAAGACACAGCAAGTACCAGATTATTTTTATTATGGCCTGATGCGTAAAACCTCACAATTTAAAGACATTTGCACATTGTCACTATACATAAATATAAAGATCAACTATATAGCATTTTACGTTTCTTCCATGACATAGTAAAAATGTGAATGCCAAAACAAAAACAAAAGTAAAATGTATAATTATTTCATTTTTACCTCTTGACCAGTATGATTTTTGAAAAACAGGGCTGCAGAAAAAGCCATCTCACACTCTGATCGCAACAGCTGCAACCTCAATGGTTAGTGTAATACTAATGTAATAATTTGGTAATTACTCTGACCACAACTGCCTTCAAACCTTCAATTACACTAAACACTTGTGAAGTTTTCAAGACCATCTTTCACTATTACTACTGTTGACAAAATGTACCCACAAACATGCAAAGCCTTGCCAAAGTACACAGCGGTCTTTCATGGAAAAGTGTCGCAGTTTTCACGTATGAAAATGCCCTTTCCCAAATTTAGCACACAGCGGGAGATGATTTGCATCAGACGTGTTCACAATACAGTTAGTCGAGGGTGCTGCCTCAATCAAGCATGCACGAAGTTCAGGACTGGCTATAAATTTCCTCAGCCTGTCATTACCTGCTTTATTCTCACATTGGTGCAAATCAACACAATCTGACATCACATGATTTTTGCACCAGCGGTCTGGAAGGTTAAAGAAGGTTTAATATCTAACTGTGTCAGACATGTGTACTTGCATACACGTCCATTGGGTAATGTCTGGAAAACTTCAGGGCTGCAGTGCGTGTGTGGAAATGGCTTAAGTATCTCCAAGACCACAGTTTTCCATAATCACACACACACTGAAAACTTTACCACACCATCTAAGCTGGTAAATGATCCCAGTCCCATATTATTTTTAGTAAAATAGCTGTGTTTGTTCATTTCAACTCGTAGCTACCCCATTTGCCTCGTAAATGACCAAAACACTTTTTTTTAAAAATGTAAATTTAATTTGACACACTTCCTGTGTTGAAATACCTGAAATACTCTACTTGCATACAGCACTTCCTAACTCATGACCCCCATCTAGTCAGTGATCGTATAAAAACAGCACAAAGGACACCCAGCAACTTTCCTCATACTGTCATGTGCACAGGCCGTCCTGGAGACACACGTGCCTGACCGGACCTCTTGCGTAACTGCTTCTCTGATGTCAGCAGAAAAACAGACTCGAGCCCCACCAATGAAAATTCACCACTTTAACACCACGTGAAGCGATGGTGCCAAAGAGACATTTTTTAATGTTTTTTTAAGCACATCAGGTTAATTATTGAGTGATGTGCGGCAACCAGAACAAGGCAGACGTCACGTGACTCAAATACAACTTCCTTTTTTTTTTATAAAAAAAAATTCCTTTCAAATAGATAAAGCATCCATAAATAATACAGTAACTATTATTAAGTAAATAATAACGACACAAAAGATAAGATCTGAAGAATTTGAAAAACACAAGTGGTTCAGTATTTCTCTCTTTGCAGGCAAAATGTCTTACATGTGGAAACTTGGACCAAATAAAATACCATCGGTTAGATCCATTAATGATACAAACAACCACCGCAGGCAATCTGTAAACAATATTTACTCAATACCAAAAATGACGCAATTCAAAACTTTTTGTTTGCTTGGTATGTATAAAATGCAAACTAACCACTCAGGCAATGAAAGACCTGAACTTCAGGTTCATTAATCACGTACATCAAGCGACAAGCATTTTTATAAACTCTAAACCCAAATGGAAGCTACATAAAAATCACTTTTCTAACTACTACTTTGCAAAATAAGCACAAAAAGCAGGACTTTAAGCAGTGTTTGAGTTTTTCTGTTCACAAAACAAACCCTCCAGATGTTCCCAAGAAACTGATTATTAACCAAAGCTGGCAGCCTTATTGTCAATCATCGTGTAGCAAAAGAACACTTTGTACCTGGAAGCTCAACAGGTATTCAAAACTCATTCCTGTAATGGGTTTGCTGTGCGGCCGTTTAGATTTCATTTACAGGTACCAGCACCGGCTTCAAATAAATTATAAGTAAATCACAATCCTCATTAATCCCAGAGTAAATGTGGTCACAGTTGCTCCAAGACAGAAAGAACAGTAACAAACATATTACAAAGTTACAAAATAGCTCTGATTATAAATATCTCACAAATTAAATATGTGGTTGACACTGAGGTGCCCCTCTGATCATACTGAAAATGTTTTATGGTTTTTAAATGACATTTTTAATTTTTACATTTAAATATAAAATATCTAACACATGTGAAGCAGTTTGTTTTAGCCTTCCAAATAGCATGTGTGGAAGACTCATGAGAAACTTTGAAAAAACACTAATTGTGGTAATTTCAATTATGAAAATAATTTCTAGCTAAAGCACTGCTGTGATCATTTAGTTGAAAAGTAATTTAAAAAATGATATTAAAAAAAAACTTTGAAAAGCAGATAATTACTAAATACTAAAGGGTCTTACCAATTTAAGCAAAGTGTCTTCTGATTGGCTGCAACTAACAAACAAAAGGTTTAAAACAGGAGGTGGGCGGGGTTTGTGACAACGAACTTCTGTGATTACGAGGTTTATGCTCTGACCTCATTATCTGAGATCAGAGCATGCAGCTCATAGTCTTACACAGCACTTTACCAGCTTCACACGAAGTGTTGTGAGACAGCTGAACAGCTGTGTCATACTTTACTACCACATGGGATTTGTGGTGAAGTCCCACATCTGACACATAGAGAAGACTCACTGCTCTTTGTGTGCCTTTGTCCCTCCCTTGAAGCATAGATGGGCCATAACTAAGTTAATGTGTCAGCTGTGGTTGTGTTCTTTTATTTCAGGATATATACAGAATATTTATTTATTTTATTTTTTAAAATTTTCCTATACATTTGTGCAGCAGAACTTTTTACCAAAGAAATGATAGTCTTCAGACAGTCTTCTGTAAGATGACTTATGTTACCCATGTTATTTATTCAATACAACTGTATAAAGTTCTACAGTGTATGTCGCATATTCAGCTTCTGTGTGGCACAAAAAACAAAAACAAAACAAAAAAACCCACATATACTACAACCTGACCTCATATTTTCAATAATACCCATATGCCCAAATACCAATAATAATAATAATAATAATAATAATAATCCATTTCACTTATTTTTCCATTCATTTGCTTTACTTTCATTACCTGCTAACAGACTGGGTGAATAAATGTGAAATAATGTTTCCTGGGGTGTTTGGTTTATTTTATTGGAGGCATTACATTTATGGAGAGTGGTTTAGCTGCAGTTTCTGAAGCCAATTAGTGAGCCGGTCGTCGATATGCAAAACATATGTCATAAACCCACAACAGTGTTTGGGATCAGTCTTTGTGCCAAAAGATCTGCACACCAAGTTTAACATCAATCCAACAGGGGGAAAAAAGAAAAGAAAAGTTGCTCGCCAACCACAAAACTTTATTCGAGTTACTGAAATTATTTCTGCTCTCATGAATGCTCGTCAAGCCCAGACTCCCAGTGCGGGTTTCTCCCGGTCTTGTAAACCTCTGATTAGCTCTGCTCCTCACTCTTCTGTCTCACATTAGGCTTGGTTTCTGTCCCTTTATGCACCATACTCCCTTTCTCTCTCTGTCCAGACGTGACTGTGTTACCAACACACAAACCTCTGTTGTCCATCTCTCACGCCTCTTTTATTACTCCTCTGCAATACCCTCCAACTCAATTTGTGGATTCAAACCCCGTCTGACCCTCCGCTGGCCTCTGCTGTGCTCAGGCCAAAACAGGAAGAGGAAACAGACGGGTATCAGTGGAGGAAGCTGCTTGCCATCGTGTTTGTAGCATAGCTTGGGTAAGCTGATACCAGTGTTTATGTACACTGAGCTGATTTCATCTGAATTATTACTGTCACTGGTATTCTTTAATGAAAACTCATCACTCCTCCCCTCATTCCTTCATTCACTCCCTCAGGTCCTCGTAATTCCTAGCATCAAGTCTCAAGTCCTTATTTGCTTCCTGGAGTCTTGACTCTCTTCAGTATTTGTAAACCAAACACCTGGATGTTTTAATTGATAAAGAAAAGCATTATGAAGATGAGCCCATTATAAAGGAGACAATTTACAGTGTGGAGCTGAACATACTGCAGCTGAATGCCTGCAGTAAGGACAACAGCTTTAAGCACTAAAAGTTAACACGTATAATAGCTTTATTATTATTTTTCAACACACTTGGTAGCAAGTATTTTCCCTCTCTTCATATCATTCTTCTAACTTAGTAATCCAGCAATAAGAGCTCAGTAGGGGATATAGCATCTGCTGAGGGACTCTTTGTTCTTATTGCGTAGGATAACTTCTTGCTTGGTATATCCTTCGGGTGTGAATGAATTTTGGGATCACATGCCTCCCGCAGGGTACTTCAATACAAATAATTATCTACAACTTTATCCAGTGGTCACTTTGTAAACTGTTCACCATGTCTGTACTGGATATTTACATTTTTACTTTTTAGTATTTATCATATGCCATTTAGAGACCAACTAATATATCAGCCAGGCTGATATTTACTTTTTGCCAATAGGTTGGTATCCACATTTATAACAGCTAAAGGAGAATTTTAAAAAGTGAAGAGATGGGATGCCGTCGCCATGTTATGATTGTTGATGCTGCATAGTCGTCTACCGGAGCCCGCTCTGCTTCTTCCCTGTTGGGAGCACACGCGTTCCGAATGCCACAAATGACAAGCAGCGCGTAAATGAGCAATTTGAGCATTGTTGTGACAATAAACCAAGTGTATTTTTAAAATGCACTGTTGCATCTTAATAAGGGCTTATAGTTACACATAAATATTAGGGAAATCTGTCTATGTTCCTTATGCGCAAAGAAAGAAAAAAAATGTTGGTCGATATCAGAGTTTTAAATCGTAAAGTATTAGTATCCAGTCGGACTCTTTTACCATTACAACATAACGGTGTGATATTGGGTTGATCTAAGATTAAGACAAGTTTAATCAACTTGCTTCTAGCTGAACAACCGACACTGTCAGAAGTTTCATTTTAAACATTTTAAACAGTGTTTAAGTTGTGGTTTTCAGCACAGTGTTAACAACGCAACTTCAAACACAAAAGAACCATCTGAGTACAGCACTGCAAAAAACAGCATTAAACATTAGCTTGGGGCTAAACACATTCAGAGCTACTTCTAATATAAACACTTTAATAATGCAGAAAACAATATAAACAAACAAGTTATGAGGAACGCAAAAAGCAAAATTTACTCTAATTATTGCTTTACCAGCCTATCATCTCCAAACATCAGGTAATCATGGCTCATCCGTTTACCGTCACACTGCTGAGGTAAGTAAAACTAAAACAAAACTGAGTTCCAGCTTATCAGACTGTGAAAAATGTAAGATTACACTTAGCACTGTGAATTAGGCCACTAAACACATTACACCGTGTGCCACACCTTACCAAAAATAAAATAGCTCCCATCATGACATGACTTTCAGTGAATTAATCCTCAATCCACAGACTTACGATAAGATGCTCCACCTTATCTGACCTTTATCTGAATCTATTTTAAGCTTGGCGTTTCAAAGATTTCCTGCAGACACTTCCACCTCTGTTATTGACCGTTTAGCTAAAAACGGACTTTAGTCAGACAACGTACATTGAGGAGTAAGTAACCAGGCTTTCCTGATTGGCTTACTCCCTCCAAATATCTTTAACATTACAGTTTTGATAAGGCACAAGGGCTTGACCCGTGTGCTTGATAATGGAATTCACTGAGCTGACAATACATCTCAAATTAGGCTTGAGTGATAACAAGCCATTTACAGGGATTCGTCTCAATGCAGAAGAAAGTGCAAAAGCCTTTGAAACAGCTGCCACACTTTGATGCGACTATAAAAGTCTCCAATAAAAAGAGAGACAAATTAAAATGGCTCTGTGGGTTCACAAAGGCAGACTAAACAATGTAAACTTCAAGTTAAAAAACACACAATATTAAAGCCAGAGGACAGATGAAAGAAGCCAAACCCTGCAGTTTGGGGGGGGGTAAGCGAGTGAGCCTTCTGAGAACTATTCATAGAAGCAATACTGTCGTAATTAGAGGTCATTATTGAACTGGTGGAGTAGAAACTGAACCTATTATTTCTCTTCTACTTCATGCATGTCCCTCAGATGGTGACACTAGTTTCTCTAAACACTCTCAGAAGTCCATTTCTCTGCCATACTTTACTCAGGTGGGCCACTGCCACACCTTAGCAGCTAGCTCTTTATTTTAGACGCCTGAGAGGACCGTGTTACATGTGATCAGTCAAAAACTTCAGACCCAGTTCCACCATCCTGAACTACAACTGGTGAAGGCAGCTCTTCTGCTTGCAGGTTAAGGGTGAGCTGGAGGGCCTGTACGCCTACAGGCCGCAACAGGAGAACTGGCACAACAACGACTACCATCACCAGCTGCAGTCTTTAATTGTACTTCTATCATCACCTATTGAATTTTAATCATGTGTGCTATCGTTCCCCCCCCCCCCCCCCCTTTTTTTTTTTTTTTAAAGCACCAATTCTAATTGTACGTTTATCCTGTTTCATTTCTGGCCCCCCAATGTCAGACCTTGTTTGGATTTAGTGCATAAGTTTAACCGTCAAAGTCCCCGCTTTGCTGGAGACAGTTTAAAATAGACCATGAAGTAAAATGAGTTTGATGTTCCCATGTACAAAATACTTAAATCTTACGTGGGTCAGACCAGTAAAATCTTTTCTGTCAGCATAAAGAAGGTTAACTGCATATATATTTTAATATGAGTGGGGGAGGTGTCATTTCAAAATTTCATCTCAGTGTTAAAAAATATGAAATAATTTCCACAATAGATTTGATTTTGCTTTTGAAAAATCAAAATAAAATGACAAAACAGGAGTTTTCCATTATTTGATATTGGTGTGGTGTGAATGTCTTTATCAGTAGTAAGCTGAGTCTAAAATTTATGTCTAAAATTTTCTAAACCCTGTCCAGTGGGTCAGACTGGAGTCTTTGTTGGGGCAATTCTGGGCTGCGGCCTGTTTGACACCCGTGGTTTAAAGAACATTAGCCAACATCCTGGTTAATGCTAACTGAACTGCTTGGAGAATGTCACTAGTCAGCTGCAATGTTGATCCTGGACCAAAGTTCCTATTATGACGTAGGAACAACACTAACATGGGGCTCTCACATTGTGCTGGTTATAGTAATAGTAGTCGTATTACCACCAGCTCTTGACTTCTGATCCTATTTTTTGGCCATAAATACCCAATGCGCTGGTTAGCATGTAATGTTTTAAAAAGATGCTTCCATATATGAGTCTTATGAACTCCATTTACTCTGTCAGCATACTGATTAACATCTGGGGCAGACCTGACTCCACAAAGTTGAGAAAGGCTGACTTACTGCAAGACAGAAGGCTGATGGAGGATCTTTACAATCACTCAGCCCATATTTTCAGTCGCTGCTGTGCTAAGATCAGTGAAATGATGTCCCTTAATTCAGCGAGAACCAGAAAACACAAGTGCAAAGACTGCATAAACCTGATCTTATAATGAAAGAGAAACTAAAAGTTTCAATATGATTTGATGTGGCTTTGCAAACTATAGAGGTTTTGAGGGAATCTCTTTAGGTAGATTCGAGCAAACACGCTGTCTCATATAGCAGCTGCGCTTCACATCGAGTAAGCACCATGTATGGAGGGAAAAGGTTGTGTAACACACCAGACTACAAGATGTGATCTTCCACTTTTAAAACCAAAATAGGCACTACTGCCTATGTGCGTCTGTCCGTCCGCATCCTGTTTGAATAATGTCTTAGCTTCCACTCAGCATTGTTTGGCTGATGACTGACAGGTCACCTGATTATTTACTAAGCTTGAGTTTACAGCGGTGACCTGTGTGTGCGCGCACGGTGGCAGAGGCACTCTTTCATGTGAGTGAACACCGAACTGGTAAAGCTGCAGAAAGCGGCCATTTGTGGTGTTGCCAAAACAAAAAAAGGAAAAGTTATTTATCTGACATGATATCACTCCAAGGAAACCGGGATTTAAGGTGGACCTGGAAAGGCTTTTAACCTGACTACTATTACAGATGTCTCAACCAGCTGTACGTCATTTCCTTTACTTTTCATCAGAGGCCAAAGGGCCGCAGCCATAATGTACACACAACAGCGCGGTCTTCTTGCTCCGACTTGTTTTCTGTCCACTTTCCTAACACTGGCTTTATCTGTGCTGCTACTCATAAGCAGCTTACTGCGTAGGCTCGGAGTTCAGGAGTTGCAGAACTTTTCTTTTCCTTTTTCCCCTGACATGACTGCACAGGGGTATTTAAAAAAAAATATATATATATATATATATATATAATAAATAAATGAGCAACTTACCCCTCTCTCCCGCGGCTTTATTTCCGTCTTCATCCCGGCTCACTTGGGTGATTACAGAGGACGGATTGTCCATCACATCCAGGTCTGGTCCAGAGTGCCAACTTCACACTTTAAAGTTAGAGATAGTCCGCCGACTCGGTGCTGCATTAACCCAACTTAACGAGAGCGAAAACAACGCTGAAACGCCCCGGGAAACATCGCAACAAGTCACCTACAGTGCGCCCATTACTCTTCGGATCCGTGTGTCCGCTCGGATACGCGCTCAAGTTTGACGTGTGGAAGTTTTAAGAGGTTTGTCTAGGAGTTGGCAACTTTGATTCAATATGGTGCTCAACTCCGCTTGCAATTTCAAGATACAAACATGGAGGTTTCAAGGCTTCCCATTTCACTTAAAGTGGCGCAGTAAGGGCACGGCTCTGTGCAGCGCTCCCCTGTCGGCCTCTGCCCCTTTGACGACGGTCCCTTAGAGTGGCCCGAAACAAAGTTACTCAGGAGTTAGCTAAGCTAGCCGCTAGCTACTACGGACTTACTTTAGACAAACACTATTATTAGACAGTGCCCCTGCTCCCTTTGCACGGCTACCGACCTTAAACATGTCGCCTACAAATCACTTTAAAATTCGGCTATAACATTAAAAGATTAAAAAAAAAAACCCACATTAAATAATTAAAGCCTGCAGATTTGACTCAAACTTTTACCAAAGTGTCTTCAGATACTTTGTAACACCTTAAATGCCGCACTAGCCGCTGGCAGATTTGCGTGTATGCTGTGTGGGTGTACCTTCGTCATGTAATGACCGCTGTTTGTAAAAAAAAAAAAAAAAAACTTGCACAATCAAGAGCAAAACATTTTTTCCCCTTTTCTTTTCTTTTTTTTTAAAAAAACTTTTTGGAAGCAGCAACAACAGAAGAAACGCCCAGTTTGGGTCCCCTTGAAACTGCCTATAGACAGGGAGTGTCGCGCAAGTGTCGTCTCCGTTTTCTCCGATTCCGCGAAGAGAAGTATGTCTGACCACATATATACAGTTTGGTCTTGCAAAATTAAAATAATAAAATAAAACTATTATGTTTGACCAATTTCCATTTTGAGAATTTTTTTTAAACCAGTAGAAATAAACTTAAAGTAATAGTCAGTCATATTTTGAGTCTGGTTAAAAAAAAAAAAAAAAAAAAAAGAGAATATTGTACTCATAAACAGTGTTGAGGTCATTACTGAAAGTAACATGTTATACCATCATGAGAACCAAGGAAAATAATCTTCCCATTGAACTGTATTTTGTGATTCCCTCCCTCTTTGAAGGTAATAGAGGCCACCTAAACAGGAGATATCAATGGTAAGCCCAGGATGTCCTCCATTTAGTACATCAGGGCTAAGTGTAGTAGCTTAAATAAGTCAAAACATAGAGACCAAAAACAAATGTCGATTACAGAGAACATAAACGAATAGGCTGGTTCTCAGGAGGATAAATTACTTGTTAATTTTCTTACCTTACCATATGTACCTTATATAATGACTCTTGTCCTTTTGTGCAATAAAAATAAAAGTAATATTCATAGCTCCACTCCTAAAAAGTTATAGACCACTCAAGCATTTTCCCCTTCTCACACACAAACTGAAATCAACTGATTGTAGGGCAACTGCACTTAATAGCTATGCTAAACTATGCTAAACAACCGGCTGACAGCAAGAAACTCTAGGGTGACTTTGGCATTAGTCACTTTGCTAGATGAGCGGGGAGTTGGACACCCCCGAGTTAGGGTTTCTGAGGTGACTTGGAGATAAAACATAACATACTGCAAAATATTTAATTGGCGTATATTTTTTATTATCTTTATTACTAAATGTTGATGTTATTCAATGTTAAAATATAGTGTGTACAATTTTTTTTTACACAAACAGTAGAAACACACCAGCCACCCATGGCTGTTCTGGGGTACCGTCTGGATTTAACGTTGTCTGATCTCTCTCGGCTGACTAAAACATGTTTGTCCTACAGTGACCACCACAGCTTGGATTATGTACGTGAATTGGTAGTGGAAAGACAACAGAATTCAGTTGACTGCAGTCTACTGACATCTAGTGGTGAGATTTTACACACTCTACCTTTAAAACACATACTTGTATGGCGTTATTTTTGTGCCACTATTCTGAGCGCACGTAAAAAAAAGTTTGCAGGTGCAAGTGTTGTATTTTGAGGAGAAATTTATTTTGAGCGAAGAAAAACTGAATTTGAGTGAACAGAATTCATTGCTGCGTGCAGAAAACGTATTTCAGTGTTTGCTATTATTCACACACGCACAACAGCAGCCCCTCTCGCTCAGTTTTTGCATTTGCACTTGCTCGCAATGTGTTGCTTGCGCTCTCAACATTTCTGCCGGTGCGCACTCAACTCTTTCTCTACACCGTTATATTTGTGCCACAAAACCAGCCAATCACAGACTTGGATGCAAAAAAAATCCGATTGGCTGTTTTGGTCTCCAATCAGCTCGAAATGACGAAATGCAATATCCCAGAATCCATTTCGTCCAAAACTCAAACGAGGCAGTTGCGGAGAAACACGGTGTGGAGGAGTTTGAAATATTACTCTGTCTGGGTCACAAAATAAACTTTTAAGATATTTTCATGCCAGAATGTTTCTGTATAAACTTCAAATATCTGCTCGATTTATCAAGACATCACATATTTGCATAAGTGCTCTGACGTTTTCGGAGATGCCTGTTACCCACCAGCTGACCGGGTGGGCACTCAGGTTAAACATAATATATAAGGCTGAACTGACAAAAAAATCACCGACTACACTTCAAGGTATTATAGGAAAACCATAAAGCCTTTGAACTAAAACAAACACTGTTATGACAGTGACGTACACTGTCTTGTTGGTATATATGTATGATTTGTATCACCTTAATGTTTTCCTCTCACCACCTATCAAAACCGATATCATGAGCAGCATTTACAGCTGTGGCTCCAGCAAACATCAGCTGATACTAGAAAGTAATATTAAAAAACAGCTGATCAAGCTGCTGTTGTTTAGCGCATCCGCTGGTTTCCTCTTTCTGGC